AAGTTTGACCAAGCCTACCACATGTTCCTTCTCATTCACCTGCCAGGATTTCAAAACATTGTCGGTGACTTGCGACCCGAAGACAAATACCGACGAATCGGGACAAATAAGGATTGCACCAATTCCCGCAATTCCGTTTCCTTGTGAATCGTATTCCACAGCTCCGTCGGTGAAAAGAAGAAAAGGGGGCGACCGCTTGGATATGAACAAGGTTCGAGGCTTCCCATTCGAGAGTTTCTTCTGCAATCTCGTCACAGCGCTTAAGGCGCGCTCGTCAAGGCGGGCCAACTTCTGGTCAAATTTCTCGAGCTCTCTCAAGTCAGCCAGCGCCAATCGTCCAGATCTGCCCCACAACTGGGCTTCAGCGAATTGCAGTTTTCCGAGCGCCGAGGGTAGTTGTGCCACTTTCATCTTTCCGGATTCAAGTATGTCAGTGAGGATGTCGTTCATCTCTTTGGTTCTGCTCAACTTGTTTCGAACTTTCACGCGACCTTGTCCGGTCTCTCTCAAGTCCAATTCCACTCCAAGCATTTCGGTGACCTCCTGGAACGGTTGCAGTTTGTCTTCACTGTAGGCGAACCCCAACAATTCAAGCAGGGCCAGTGAAGAGGTCATTGAACTTTGCTCGTGCATGGAGTGGCTCACTAACACAAAGTCATCGAAGAATGCCGACCACAACAACCCCAAGTGTCTCCCCACCGCTTGTATGAAAGCACTGGTTCGGAGAAAATGGTGCACACTGGCCGCCGCACCGAATGGCAGAACTTTCATCACGAAGCATTCGTTTGAACCGTTTTCAGGATTGCACAAAGTCACTACTGCGTGTTTGCGTTCATCGCGGTGTAGCGGAAGTTGCTTGTATGCAGATTTTAGATCGATGCACGATGTTTTGAATACAGGTTCCACCGCCTTCCATTCAGTGTGAACTTCTCCCGCCAGGGTGTCTACGCTCTTCAGGCGCAGCTCCATTCGCCCCTCAAACATCAAGAACTTCACCAGCGTGAAGACAGACCACAAAACATGGTCCATGGTTCTCAGTTCTATCTTTTCCACGCTTGCATGGGTGAGGTTCACATTGTTCTCCTTAAAATCATCAATGGGACGGATCTTCTTCTGAACAACTCCAAATCGTCGAACCGGAATCCAGTCCTTTCCAAGCGTCTGCGAAATCTCTTCAGGTTGGTACGGGCCTTCGAGCCAGCCTTTGTTCACAGCTTCATCCAACGTGATCTCGTACAACTCCTTCTGGATGTCATTTTCACACGTCAGTTTCGATCGCCCCAGAATCATGGGTCTCAGGAACTTCGATTTCTGTTCAAGCTGTGACGTCGTCAATGTTGCCATGGTGATGCCTTGTTTGAAAATACCGGCCACTGTGGTCTGTCCAGTGATTTTGAAGCCAGTTGTGAATTCGTCAAACAATGTCATGTCAGGCCACCCAATCTCTTCTGCGATCGATCGCATGAGCAGAATCCTTTTTGGTTTCATGATTCGACCAATGTCAGGCTCCATAAGGTTGTGAAGTTCAGTCTCCAACTCTCGCAGTGCCTTGGCTCTGGTCGTCCACTCGTTCAGCATTGTGATTCGCTTTCTGGTGACCTGTGAAGGTGATGAGGTCAGCTGGCTGTAAATAGTGCGGACGAGTTCATCGGGCAAATTTCTCAGTTCGTCGAAGGGATGCCACAACTGTTTGGCCACGTTTGTGAATTCCTCAGGTGATCGATAGATTCCAAAAACACAGAGAAAGGACCCCCCTCTTTCTTCAGTTCTCAGCAAACGGCTTCCGACTGGAATGTTCGGAAGTGCGCGGGCGATGCACCCCTTGTCGTCGGTCTTGGGGATGTTGCGCAAAAGCACGGATGGTGTTGCCAAATATTCAGAAATCAATTGTCGCATGCCTCGTCCGCGAGGTTGTCGTTGGGGAGTCAACTTGGATGCAGTCACCTCGGCAGAGTCAGGAATAGTCAAGCCTCGAGTGAGGGACAAAGAATGCAAAACTTTGGCATATGCAGTGCACAACTCTGTTGGATATTCGGCTTCCAAAGCTGTGTTAAATGCACCCAGGTCAGCATTGTATCCCCACGGCGCGTGTGGGTGTGAGTCATCGCAGTACCGTTCCAAATCACGGAAAACAGAATGACTCACCAAAAACGTGGTCAATTTCTTGCGTTGACCACCATATGCACAAGCATGTAAATGAACCCAAATCCCACTTGTAATGGCAAAAAGGAAAAAAGGGCAGGTCCCACATCCAGGAGTTTGTTGGGTTCTCAACTGTCCATGGGATGCCCAATGCCTCCAGCTTCTGAATGAAGGCGCCGCACAAACGGTAAATTTCATTTGCGCTCACCACACGCTGCTGGTCTCGATAGTTCAGGTTTGGTAACCCAAGCAAAAATTCTTGTGACCTCAATGGTTGTGGTCCAGCGCTTCCATCTGGAAGGGGGATACCACGAGCTTTTGAACATGTGCCGCATGGGGGAGCAAAGTGAACTCCAGCGATTGGAACATTTTCCACCAAGAAATTCAATTGGTCCCAGGCGGCTTGTTGAGAAAGGTCAAGTTGGACTATAGTGCAACGTGGGTGATGCTTATTGTGATCATGGTCTACGGGCACGACACAATATCCGTGTTTACGGACAGCGTCTGACAACTTGGCGCTGCCTGCACAAAGTTCAAGGAAAACCGGTGTATCTTTCAATGTTCCTGAATTGACATCTGGAAAAAGGTCACGGAGAACATCGGACTTATCACAACTGTTGCCGACGGACATGGCCTCATCTGGGACCTGAGTTGAGTCAGGGCCAGGTGATTGTGGAAAATTGCACGAATTCGAGACCTCTGCTGCATCATGGAGTCACTCCTTTCCGGCCCCGGGACAATCCAGAGCCGGATGTTGCTTGTGGCAACCTTTCACTGCACACGCATGAAGGCCTTTAGGACACCGTTGCTTATCCACGGTATTGCTACATGTCTTCAAGTTGTAGGAGAAGCACAAACGATGACCTTTAGGTGTGGCAGGAACTGCATTTAGGGCCAACAACTCATGCGGGATTCGGATGAAAGAATCTTTGCCCAACTTACCACTGCCCTTGCCCTTGTTGCCTTTGCCACTGCCCTTGAATCGCTTGGACGGTGGTTCTCCTGACGATGGTGTCTCGGCTGGCCTGGATGAAGAGGAACCTGGGCGCGGTTGCAGGAGTGTCAAAACTTCAGAGCTTTCCATGCAATCTTTGATCACTGCATCAACAGGTCTGCCTGCCGGTGATGGTTTGATGCCTTCACGAGTACGTTCACTGATGAGCACGAACAACTTGCGATCTGCCATTTCCAACTGTTTCATAGTGGTTCGAACATGGTTTGGTGGAGGATCCTCCAAACGAGTTTGCATCATCTTCTCACTCCAAGCCTCCATCTTGGCGAACCCGACAACATTTGCCTGCTCAAGGGCCAGTGCCCGCCTGGTCAGACAATACCTGACTTGAATCTCTGAGGCGGTGCTGCACGGTTCCACCTTCGTCTGACGTTGCAACTTCAAGGCACCACTTGTGTCAAAGGTTAAGGATTGGTCTTTCTTGGAACCATGCAGTATCTCATGTTCGCGACTGGTGCAAACATCCCATGGTATGTACTGAATTCTGTCGCTCTCATAAATGCTAATGCAACGATCCACCAATGCATCACCTGGTTCATATGGTCCTGAGATGTTCACTCCAATCAGTCGACGTTGCTGTTGTTTCAACCGTTCTGCACGTTCTGCTGGAGCCAACCTGCGAGCAGGAGTGTCGTCACTGGCTTCAACCCTGCTTTTGATGTCAGACGCCACATTGGCGTAGCTCTCACTGAAAAGTCTGCGAATGCATGACATCTCAACTGTAGTAGGTGACTTGCCAAGGAAGTCTTTGGTCAAGTTCACCAATGGGGTTTCATCTGTGGCTCCAGGTTGGAAGTTGGAAGCAAAGGCAAATTTTGACATCGTGTCTAACCCGTGTGATATGATCTTTGAGGTCACCGCATCATCTAGGCCAATCTCCTTGCATCTCTGCGCGAAAACAGCCTTGCTGTCTCCGTAGCTCATGGCGACGAAAGTTCCTGAGAAAGAGGAATGACTGTTGCGTCTGTGGCATGAATGTGCAGTCGTGTTGTTTTCACTAAAGTTGCATTACATCTAGTTGAGCAACTTGTGATGTACATGCGCGTGTCTTCATCGTTGCTTGCATTGTTCAACTTGAACAGCGCGGTGGAAAAACATGGATCTTCAACTTGAAGACTCCTTCACATGATCTGAACGTTTCAGATTTCTGACACATCACATTTGTCCCTAAGGACTTCACCTTTCGTCATTGACACGACATGCATTGTGGCAAGCTTGAAAAATTTGCACTGCATTGAAACGCACAAGCTGCACAATCTTTTCACCATTTCGGGAATCATATGTCTAAGTCATGAGTTCCACATCATGCTGCGTCTCTGAAGCACGAGGAGCAGGCCGGATGGAAGAAACCGGGTCTCTCGCTCAGCACCTCATACGTGTTGGCCATTTTGCGACCGCGCGTGAACTCTATTCCAGACTCGTCGGCAAAGGCATGAATGCAGCGCGACACCTTGTGCCGCGCGAAAATTGCCGTCTCCAGCCGTTCGTCTTTGGAGGGACGCCAAGTTCCCACCACTGAGGCGCATGCAGCTTCCTCCTGGACATGATCAACTTCCTCTTCATTTTCGGAACCAGATGATGAAGATTCGCTCAGCTCGTCTTGCTCTTTCGGAATCTCGGACTCGGCCACAGCAGGAAAACGTCCAGATCGGGAACAATCGGGAAGGAACCTCCCAGCTTTGACCTCTTGTATCATCTGGCACATCTGTCTCAAGGGCTCCGCCATAGCGTCCCGGCTGTAGCAGAGCACGCTCTGATTTTTGGATCCGGCGTGGTATCCAAGGAGTTTTCTAACCCCGTGGTTCATGCCGTACTTCGCACTCATTGACAGCAGCGTGGCTTTCAGTGAATGCGTCCCAACCGGAGTTCCCTTCTCGGGCTCAACACCTTGAAGTAGGCTCCTCAGCCAGTTCGCTCCAGAAGTCACTCCCAGCGGCATCTTGGACCATCCCTTCATCGTCGGCGAGGGAAGCAGCGGGATGAACTCGTCTATGCTGTTGGCCTGTGCTCCCAGTTCCTTCTGTCTGAGATCAAGCCAAGTAGGCAACCATTGCGTGTCACCGAAAGTCAACAACGGAACTGCTACTGGCAAGTGCCTAGTCTTCCGATCCAAGCTCACCGATGTCTTTGTTTTGGCGGCCAAGGCTTCGACGAACCCAAAACCATCGTCTTGCTGGTCCAGAGTCAGTTGGCAAATCTGTTGACCATCGCTGAAGCGCAGCCTGCCCATCAGGAGAAACAGAAAGAATCCGCTAGCCAAGCGCTCCTGTTTGGATCTCCGATTGTCCAGCACCGTCTCCTCAAGTTTCATAATCTGTTTCACTGTCAAAGGCGGTCTTTGGACCAATTTGCGTTTCTGAGCAAACAACGTGTTCACCAGTCCACGGATCCGCGATGAACCTAAGACCACATCTGCACCTTGTACGCCGAAGTGATAGTTCGCGAAGCTCAACGACAACAGAAACGATCTAGTGTAAGTTGCCGCCCTGCCTTCACACGACTTCACATAGTCATAACATGTGTGTTCAACCAGCGGAAAAGGTTCAATGCCTCTGTCTTTGCAAAACTGAATATACTGCAGCACTGGGCTGGCCCTTGCATGAATCGTGGAGGTGGCCTTGGGGCCAAGTGCATCTTTGATGCTTTCAATGAGCCCGCCCTTGGCGAACTCCATCGATTTGCACGCTGCTTGCAGTCTGCCCACTTCAAAACATCCCACCTGAGTCAAAATGATGCCAAGCCATTTCTTGTATGCGCATTTTCTCTCCCAGGATAGCTTCTCACTCAAAAGACGGTCGTCCGACCCTTTCACCGCCCTAATGCCAACCTGTTTGAAATTCAGTACCTCAATGTGACTGGCGTCCTCAGTGTTTCTGGGTGTAGCCACAGGCAACGGAGGGATGGCCCCGCTGACTTCCATGTCATTGGTTCTGAGCCTTTTGCACACTTCCCATGGTGTGTTCAAGGTTCGTTCCCATGGCATTCTGAAAGATGATTTGAAGTGTTGAGTCCAAATATGTCTGAGGTTTTGATCATAAACTGAAGAGCTCACGAAATCAGATCTGTCTGTGTCTGTGGACCCCCCTGTCTGCTTCAGCCCCGGAATCACAGATGACGATGACGTCGACATTTGTGATGGCGATGACCTTCGTCTCCGCGGGTGCAAGGATTCGGGCACCCGTGAATGGCGCACTGAAAGTCGCACCGGAAAGGCACCCGCAGAGGCGGCGTCACGGGCTGTGCCACCGGCGGCGGCGGTTCCAAATCACCCGGATATCCAGGCAGCAACCGATGATGCAACTCAGTCAATAATGTGAAAAGAGCCGAGACCAGTTGTTGATTGGACCACTGTTGCACGGGGTGATTGGGAAAGGGATCCATCCACTGGCTACAGATCGTAGAGCAACCAGGCGAGGACAAAAATGCCACCCAAAAGAAAACTCACTCCACCAAAAAGAGCCCA